ACGTTCTGGAAAATATTAGCGTTTCGTGTTCGTTTTGACTTCGTGTGGACGGGGCCTTAATCAATGCATTTATCAAACTTTTATGTAACAAAACAACCAAAACAAATATTATTAATGAAAACAAATACACAGCTCATGTTAAACAACAAATCGCCGGACTAACCATCATCTGACAGTAGCAGGAATCGAAATAAATGACATAATCTCTTTTGGCTCAGCAGTAGATCTGTTTTCTTCTGGTACGACGATTGAAGCGGCCGTTTTACCATTCACAGTGGAGCCTCAGTATCCTAAAGGTTACCACAGCTGTAGAACATCTGGGATGTTAGGAGAGCAGAGCTTTAATCCGACTGCCGTCCTGTAACGAGCCTCCTCCTGTATCCAGTCCTGGATTCCTAATCACGTGCTAAAAAAGCTTCGTAGATCAAAGAGGCGTGACCCCTCCCCCCTAGATTCCCCAACAAGCTCTTTTAATAAAAGACTTTAAAATACAGGTGAAGCCCCGGATGGAGAGGCGTCTACTGGAGCTGAAATGAAATGTTCTTCCTCTAAAGCGTATATTTCTGCTCTCATTGTTCTGCAGATAAACACTAATTAAACCATAAATCTGTGCGGTTGGTTCCAACCCTCTCCTGATTGGTTATTATTTTCTTTCTTGGCAGGGTGATTTTGGAGAGTGACCCCCAACAGGTCCTACAGAAGGTCAACTACAGGGTAGGAAATATCACTGGGATTGTTTATTGTTTATTTGTTTTACTTTTAGAAATGGAAAGAAAATTTAAAGTCTAAAACCCAAGCAGCTGTTTAATTCACTGTTAATAAAAAATAAGGATAAATCAAAGTGAATTTTTGATTAATTTGTTCAGGTAAATCCAATGATCCACCAATGGACTGAGTATTTTTGTCATGGCGTTAGATGACTGTCAGTAAAAATGTATTCATAAGTGTCTGAATTTTTAAATGGAATATTTAAGATTTGTATTTATTTAGGGTACCAACTCATTATTATTTTGCAAATTGATTAATCTGATAATTGTTTTGGATTAATCGGATACCCAAAAGTTTCTTAAAGAAGACTTTTTAAGATATTAAACCAGGTCAAACTAAAACTGTTTTTTGAATTGAGGAGTTCTGGATAGATCAAATTGGACGAGTTTTTAAAAAAAAATCTTAAATGCAAAATGTTTGATGTTTTCACAATCTTGGTATAATTCCTGCTCTAAGTGGGTCGCTCTGCCAGCTAAAGGCATGTTTTACAGTCTCTATACTCAGGTTAACGATTAATCGATTACTAAATTAGTGGCCAATTATGTCAATAATCGATTAATCCGATTAGATGTTTCAGCCCTATATCTATTCCTGTTTTCTGTTTTCTTGTGAAAAATGGGTTTTTAAGCTCCAGTTACATTTAACACAGTTCAACTCTACAAAAATATGCTGACAGATCAAACATTTCTAAGTACTGATCATAATTAGCATCAATCTACAACTGTTGATGCAGCTGTTCCACTCCTAACCTGTTGGTGGCAGTAAAGCACCAGGAGGATCTTCGCCAAGGATAAAAACAAAGCTTGGATCGCAAAGTTTAGATTTGTACTCGTAAATTAGCGATTTTTACTTGTAGTTTTTTTAAGTTTCAACTTCTAAAGTCGGACATACGCTGTGCGTTTTTTTTCAATAGTTGCACGCGCTACGGCTTACACTGTACAACTAAACCGCAGGGTTTAAAAGTTCACAGCTCACCATGTTTGTTCTCACACATTGCGACC